AATATTAGCGAAAGATGTGAATAGACCGCTCCATGAAAATCTTCTACAGACTGATGGACTCCCTGACTAATTATTGTCATTTGATATTCAAGGGTTCCTAGGTCTCGTTTGTCTGCGTAGTGAAGGGTAAGACATTTTGATATTGCATTCCAATTAAGTGAAATGTTGTAGGATTCAAAAGCAGTATCTGCCATTCCTGTTATTTTATTTCGAATGGTATGCAAAATTCCGAAATACTTCCACGTTCCGAGAGTGTGTTCATAGTTCTTTAAAATTCTATCAACTCCCTTCTTCCAAGAACTAAATTCTGCTGGATTACCTGAAAATTCCCTGAGAGTCTTAACTACGTCCGGTACCTTATCTAAACCTTCTAGATTGGTTCTATTTTCAGGATTGATTTCTTGGTTTGTTGCATATGTGAAGTCGAGTCCCTGATTTTGTACTTGTTGTAATAGAATTGGTAATTGTTCGGAAAGAACTTGCCTTAAGGGGTTACATGGGTTTCACGGTTTCAAAAAAATCGATTTTTTTTGTCTTATTAAATTCTATAACATTTCTAGAATATTGTCCTAAATTTTCAAGTTGATCCGAGTAATAGTCTCGGAGATACAGCCTTGAGAAGGTGGACGCTTGAGATCACTTTTATTGTCTCTTAAAACTTTAAACGCGTTTTTCTCAAAACTATGTTTTCAAAGTCGGTTGTCAAAATTTCTCGCGAACTACTCAACCGATTTTAATGAAATTTTACACAAGTATTCGAGATATCATTTACAAGGTATTGAACGAAGGATTTTTTTTTTCAATTACAACTATTTAAAAAAAAAAAATGTCGAGAAATTTGTATCGAAATTTGCATTTTTTTATAAAAACGTCTGCCAAAAATCCAATTTTCATTTTTTTTTTTCCTACGTCCAATACCTAGTTTATTGTCTATACTGAAACACGTTTTTTTTATTTTGACTTTTGATGATCCTGAAAGAAGTTCTGCTGACAACGCGGAGGCACCTTTTCTATTTTTTTGAAAATTTCACAAAATCTTTATTTAATATGTATCTTTTAAATAATAAAAAGTTTCATTGAAATATTTCATTTTTTATATGCGAAAAAAATGTTTGAAAAAAGGCCGTTTTTTACCCGAGGAAACCCATGTAACCCCTTATGGCTGCTGTCATTTCTGGTGATGCCATGTTTTCCCTAGATTGTTGAACTGAATGAATTTGATTGGGATCTAGTTGCTGTAGGGCTTGTTGAACCGCTATATTTTGTTGTTCTAACCTACTGGGGTCTATGGGCTGTTGTTGATCAATATTAATTATTGGTGCTCTTATAAGATTACGCCGATTGGCCATTTGTTTTGTTGGGTTTAAAGAAGAGAATTTTCACGTGGGTATGTCTTACAATTACAATTAGTTTTCATTTCACACTCTTAATATAATAGAGTAATAAAGTTGGGAATGATGTAAAAATTTTAAAAATAATTAATAAAAATTTCAATTATAATTATAAATTCAATATATGTTGGATAATAATTTTTTTTTTTATATGTTGTTTTCCTAAACAACAATTTTGTATTTAAACTTTCTTAAATGTTTGCGATATTAATTAAAATTGTGATTTTAAAATTATAATTTTATGTTTGAAAAAATTGAATTTAAAATTATGAACTTTTATGAGGTGTTTACTTGGTTTTTTTTTATATTTTTGTCTTATTCACTATCTCACTTAACTTAATCTGATGTGGCTACTCCTCCTGATGGTCCGGATTTTGTCCTTTTTGTTTCCTACTTGGGATCCTGCGACGCACACAAATGGGGGATGTCCTGCGAGCGTATCTGACAGCACTTGTAGTCCACCGATGAATATCGTCCTCAGCTTCTTGCTTGTTTTTAGAAGGAGTCCCTCTGATTTCGATTTGTTTTTTTTTGAGCCAGCGGAGGCGCACTTAGTAATTTTCCGCGCGGATCGAACTTAAGGGGGTCTTCCTATGTGATGGGTTGAAAAAATCGATTTTTTTTTTTTTTTTCATAAATTGCTCTCTTAACATGTCTAGAATACGGTAGTAAAGCGATTTTAGAAAATTCGAAGTCGTTTTAAAGATACAGCAGGTAAAAGAAAGAGCGGTTCGAAGCGCTGAGTTGGCAGTTAGAATCTTTAAACGCGTTTTTCTCAAAACTGTGTTTTTCAAACTTTCCTCCATTGTATCTCAGAAACGGCTGGACCGAATTACTTGAAATTTACAGGGCACACTCAATATATGTAAACGCATGGAATGAACTATTATCAATCGAAAATTTTCAAAACTTCGATTTTTTTTATAGCAAAAAAAAAAAAAAAAACGCCAAATTTGCAACTTTTTTTTCAAATGTCTATCAAAAATCCAATTTTTTTTATATTCATTTGATTGTAGTTCATTCCGTGCATTTAAGCCTACAAATTAAAACGCCGTTTATTTTTTTTTTTTCTGATAAGCCGATCAGCCGGAATCGTGGAGGAAGTGGGAGCTCTTTTTTTCGAGGCGGGGGTGTTCAGAGCGCTTTAACTCTAGTTTGACCAAATATTTTTTGCTGAAATTTTTTATTTATACTGTCCAAATATGTGTTAATAAATGATAAAAAACTTGAAGCTCTAAATATTTACTGGTCGTAGAAAAAAAATCCTAAAATAACCCTAAAAAACAGGCCGTCACATAGGAAGACCCCCTTAATCGGATTTACTCGCGCTGGTCCCTGTTCGGGCGCCAGTTAAATTCCAAGTTATTGAACACAAGAATTTTATTTTTAAGACGTGATCTTTATTTGGAATAGAAATTGGGACTGAACATATTCTGCTTATCGATACCCTAATATAGGCTGTGGGTGGTTGCGGCGACGTTAACTTCGGCGGCGGCGGCGCTGTCTCGGTTGGCAGCGACGTTGGTAATTTTCGCTTAGTTGCATAAAGTGCAAGATCTGCAGAATTGTATTTCATGTTTTGCCTGGTGGCTGACCGGATGTGCATGTTTGCTTAAGTAAATTTTAGTTGGTGGACTTCTAGCTGGCTCTTGTCTTTTGTGTTATTGAACTCGATAACTCTATCATATAGCTGCCATAGGAGAGATCGAAAATTATATATAGAATTAATGGAAATAAATTAATAACATCGTTGTTTTTTATCCCACGAGCATGTTTTTTTAATATAAAGATCTTTAACGACGTTTATATTGAAAAAAGTTTCATAAAAATCGGTCATCTATATCTTATAGCTGCCAAAGGAAAGATCGAAAAATCTATTGGGTTGGCAAGAAAGTCATTTCGGTTTTTTTCAATATTTTCAAAGATGATTTATTTATATCAGGAATTATAATTAATCAATTATGTATTGGCCGTTTTGTTCGACCACTAATGACCATCTCTCGGTCAACTGCATAATTCCGTGCTCGAAGAACTTTTGGTCTTTTCCAGCAAAGAATCGAGACAAGTGGTTTTCCACAGCCTCATCTGAATCAAAGTTTTTACCATTCAAAGAGTTTTGAAGAGAGCGAAACCAATGGTAATCTGAAGGCGCTAAGTCCGGACTATAAGGTGGATGTGGTAGCACTTCCCAATTCAGCTCCCTTAATTTTTGCCAAAGATGTGTGGGGCCTAGCGTTGTCATGGTGAAAGACTATACCCTTGCGATTAGCTAGTGCCGGCTCCTTTTCTTTAATTTTTTCCCCCAAATTGGATAGCTGGCGACAGTACACATCTGAATTGATGGTTTCATTCCGTCCCAGCAGCTCAAAGTGCACTACACCCTTCCAATTCCACCAAACTTTCCTCTGATGGATATCGGCCTTTGATGTGGCTTGGGCTGGCTTATCTTTCTTGCTCTATGATCTTTTTCGTTGGACGTTAACTTTGGCGGCGGCGGCGCTGTCTCGGTTGGCAGGGACGTTGGTAATTTTTGCTTAGTTGCATAAAGTGCAAGATCTGCAGAATTGTATTTCATGTTTTTCCTGGTGGCTGACCGGATGTTCATGTTTGTGTAATTAAATTTTATTTGTTGGACTTCTAGCTGGCTCTTGACTTTTATGTTATAGAAATCGAATTGGCTCTTGACTTTATGTTATTGAACTTGGAGCTGACTCTTGACTTTATGTTATTGAACTCGATCTAGCTCTTGACAAATGTGTTACTATGTTGTAAAATTGTTCTTGACAATGTTGCAATATTTCGGGAAAAGATGATGAAATATTGCTGTGGTTAACTTATATCATATATCATATCGCGCGGGGCCCCCATAAGCCCATAAGCAAATTGCCCCCTTTGCCATCACAACCCCCCCTTCTGTGCGCCCCTGACTATAAGTAATAAATTATAATAACTTAAAAATAATGATTGCTCTTTGTTATTTTTATATTCCCTCATCTATATATATAAAAGCAAGTTGTGTTAGTTCCACCACTTATAACTTAAGAACGGCTGAACAGATTTGGCTGAAAATTGGTAGGAAGGTAGCTTAGAGCCCGGATTTTGTAGTTAGAAATAATGTTTGCAAATACATTGTTGATAAGTTCCTTTTTTGATGAGACAAAATTACAAAAATTATTTCGAAATGATATTAATCCGCTCGATTCATCGACAGGTACTTGACCATTGCCGATAGTCAGCAATTGCTTCGAGAAATCTTCAGCAGATGTATCATTAAGCAATGAAACATGGAAGAACAACTTGATCGACGCCTATGTACCAAAATACAGAAATAAAAATTAAATATTAATGTAGGTTTTTGATTATTTTTGTAATTTTTTCCAAAAAAAGGCAGAACAAAGTTCGCCGGGTTTGCTAGTTGTTTATAAAATTATAAAGTCATCTGGTGGCAAAACAACGTTTGCCGGGTCAGCTGGTATGAATATATATATATGTGTGTAATAAATATACATATGTATGTGTGAAGGCATCGTATCTTAGTTTAGGTTTACAAACTATTTTAATATGAAATAAACAAATAATTTGAAATATAACTATTGCAAGTATTCTTACTGGATACTCGTGGCATTTATTTCCTGAATTCTTTGCATAGATATGTGAAAGAACATCAATGGCTTTCTCTACTTCACCATGCTCTAGCAGAAACTTGGGGCTTTCCGGAAATGTAAGTAACCATAATCCAAGAAGAATACTGAAATTAATAAAACAAAAATTGTAATTAAAATAAAAATTTAATAAATAATAGATCGGGGAAAAAAATTTAATCATTATATGTAGTTGCTAGATGATAAAATATTTTTTTAGAATAGCATCTAAATAAATATATATAGTAAACAAGGCATAAAGAAAAATACTATCCTGTAGCTCTGTAGCTCTCCTGAAGGATTATTATGTAAAATCAAAATCGAAGTTTGGAAAAAATGCTTATTACAACTAAAATGCAAATTTTAAAATCTAAATTTTTCTTTTACAAATTTTTGGGTCGCGATATTTGTGTTATAAAGTTTTTCGCAAATTCTTCATGATTTTAATTCGTCCACCGTGCAATTAAATACTTCTAGAAATCGAAAATATTCGTCCGCGCTAAATAATAATAAATAATATATAAACAAGGCATTAAGACCCTTGTGTAGTTCTCCTGTAGGTTTTACATTTAAATTTAAAAACTGAGAGTCTAGTTTACATACAGGGTGGGCCATTTAAATTTGACCCATTGGGAAACCCTGTAACTTTTGACAGCGTCGACAGATCGTCAAATGTCATACCACGTTGGAAGCGTAAGTCGAAGACAATTGATACCATGGAACAATACACTCCAAGGGAACGCGCTCAAATTGTTCAGCTCTACATTGAAAATAAATTCTCAATTGTGTTAACCCAACGTGCGTTTCGTAAAATGAATAAAGTTAAAAGTTCTCCAGTTAAAAACACAATTAGGTCTTTGTACGCAAAATTTGTAAACACCGGTAATCTAAGTAATGCCAGTCATGTATCCAGGCAACGAACAAGACGTTCTAATGAAAATATCGAAGCTGTACGAGCCAGTATTGATGAGACTCCTGCGACATCGACTTATCGACGATCTCAGGAATTTCTGATGCCTATTATTCGTGAAAATGTCATGGATAACTTCTGGTTTCAACAGGACGGGGCAACTTGCCATACAGCTAGAGCAACAATCGATTTATTGCGAACATTGTTCCCTGGGCGGTTGATATCGAAAAGTGGTGATTTTGACTGGCCCCCAACATCACCAGATTTGACGGCCCCCGCCTTTTATTTGTGGGGTTATTTGAAATCCAAGGTATACGCTAATAAACCAAAAACCTTAAGTCAACTAAAAGACAACATTAGACGTGAAATAGCCGCCATATCGGATGAAACATTGACCAAAGTCATGGAAAATGCTGAAAAAAGAATGCATTCGGCTGTCAGAGCTAAAGGTGCCCATTTACGTGATATCATTTTTAATAATAATTTGTAAAAAATCTCCTTGGACCAAAATAAATGATTTTTGGAATAAAAAAAAAATTGTCCACTTTTTTTGTTTTTGTTTTAAGAATCAAGTGGGTCAACTTTAAATGGCCCACCCTGTAGAAACAACAGACAGACGAATTGGGCGACTTTATCGGATAGCTCCCATAAGAGAGATTGAAAAAAAAAAAACAATTATAACTCCGATGTTTTTGATTATATCGAGTTAATTTTTGTATTTTAAATACTATCGAGTTTCGAAAGTTTTGAAGTTTTAACGAAAAAAATAAGATAAAATCGTTGTTTTTCATCAGAAAGGCATAGTTTTTGAAATATAGAGTTTTCTAATGACTTTTCATCCATAAATCCAAAAATTTGTTTGAACGTACTATGTTCTCATTAGTTTAACTCCATGCCATGTAAAGATTGTTTTTGAATATTTTCGATAATTACCAAGGAAATATGAACTTTTTTCGAGAATAATTGAATACTTTACCTTCAACCCAGCTCTCCCAACTCTGATAATTTTATCTTTATTTATAAAAGGACTCATACTAGAAATTTTCGTATTCATTTAAATCTTTATTATTAATTAAACCCTTGACGCCGTGTATGCTGGTTAATCTTCTGATTTTACGTGATTCCATTCCACCTCTATATTTTTACGAATGTCATCTATACTATTTTTTATAAAATTATTTTCTCAAATTTCTGAGTCATGTACCTCAATTGAGGCACATTTCGCGAAAATTAACTTTTGCAGGTCATCCCAAAACATCCCAAACGTTAGTAAATTCTCTTACAGAAGCGGAATCGTTATTACATAACGCCTCTCTAAAAACCTTCTTGTTGTTGTTTAAGTTCTCTCCCTTGTTTGGGTTGCTTTGTACGGACAGAACCTCTTCCTCTTCTTTGCTGGAACTGTTCAGAAGGTGTTTATTGAACGTTCGTATATTTAATTTAGAAGAACATACTATATTTACTTATATGTATGTGTCGGATCAAATGAAATTGAGTAGAAAGTATAAATTTGGAAAGTAGACTCTTGGGAAGTCAGCTCAGAAAGCGCCTGATAAACGAGCAGAACTTGCTGCTGATAATTTGATTAAAAATGGAAAAGACTAACGACACTCCGACATGCACATATCACGTCGGGGTCAACAAATGTTCAGCTAATAAGCTTTTTTATTAGCTATTTAAATAAAAACACGAACATTTAGAGTTCGATTTCTGCAAAGGCAGCGAATTTATTTTAGCAGAAGCGATTAACAAAAATGGTCCTCGAGATCGAAAGGCAGAGTTAGAATTAAACGGATCAGACAATTTCAGACCCAAAGTAGAAGCCAACAAGCAACGAGAGAACGAATAGAATAATAGAGATTGAGAGCGATGGTTATTATGCAGATAAGATAAGAGCGTGCATTAAGAGAACCAAATTATCTGCTGCGGCTGGATGACCCGACACTGCCTTTGTCCACAGCAAGCACCTTCTTTTAGTAGTTTTCGATTTTGTTCTCGCTCACTGAAGGCACGGTCGCAGATCGCTTACCTGTTCTTTTTCGTTTACATACTGTCGATAGTTAAAAGTCACAGACAAATCGATCCGCTTGCCCGACGCACACTTTATAAACACTCATAAGCTTTAACTTTGTAAATTAAGGCCTTGGTGCCATTTAAGTTAATGAGTAGAAAATTAATTGAAATTTTGTGCGGTTTTATTTTATTTAGGCACAACCAAAGGTTATGGTTAGTGAAAAAGCTTACTAACCCAACATTTCAAGCAATCTAAAACTAACGTGCAACCAAACAAATTTTTTTAATTACGGTGTTTAAATATCGAGCCTTCTCCCAAGGAGACTAACGACAAGTATTCAAATCTTAGCCTAATACATATAATTAATTAATTAAAATTAAGTTTTTTTGGTATAACGGTCCTAGCTATTGTTGCTGGGTGGGGTGATCTCTTCGCCGGAGTCGTGTGTGGCTAGTGTTCCAGGTTAAAGACCGTGCAAGCCTTTTTGGATGAGCCTGTAGTTTGATCGTATACTTTGCTTTTACTTTTACTTTACAGATCCCACGTTTAAGTCTCCGTGAATGTTTTCATTCCGTATGTACCACGGCGCACCCATTATTGTTCTCAGTATTTTTTATTGGGCTCTCTGGATCACTTCTAGGTTACTAACGCATGCGTTTCTCTAGCTCCGAGCCATACATCCAAATCGGATTGGGAAATGCATTGTATATTGTATTGTAGAAGTACAGAAGTACCTTGTACTCCAATTTAAGCGGAGAGCGAGCATTTACTAACCAGTGTAGGCTTCTTGCTTTTAATTTTAGATGTGTTCCCTTGGCTTCGATGTGCCTTCTTCAGGTAAGCCGTCTATCAAAGTGGACTCCCAGATACGTTACTTCCGTTGTTTGTGGAATATGGAAGTTGTTCAGGGATGGTGGGTGGCAAGTTTGTCTATTAAGGGTTAAAGTAACGTGTTTGCACTTTTGCTTGTTAACCTTTATGCGCCAATCTGCTAGCCATTTCTCCAAAAGCCCGAGATGAGCTGATAGATTTTGCGTTGCTGTCATGGGGCACTTAGATCGACTAAGAATAGCTGTATCATCAGCAAATGTTGAAGTTATTGTAAGACCGGTTTTTCGGAAGGTATGCTGTGTAGATTATATACAGCGTTGGTCCAAGCACGCTTCCTTGAGGTACTCCAGCTTCGATTGGATGGTAATCGGAGAGGAAATCTTTACACCGTACTGCGAAACTTATGTACACAAGATATGTCTCCAGTATTTTGAGGGTGTTCTGTGGTAGCAAATTTGGAATTTTATAAATCAAGCCGTCTAACCAAACGCGGTCGAAGGCCTGGGCGACATCCAGAAAGACTGCGGAACAGTACTCTCTACTTTCAAATGTATTTCTTATCTCTGAGGTTATTCGGTTTACTTGTTCAATGGTTCCGTGTTTCTCGCGGAAACCAAATTGGTGGCTTGGGATGGCATTGTGGGACTGTAGGTGTTCTTTTACACGATTCAGCAGAAGCTTTTCAAATATCTTTGATAGGCACGGCAGAAGACTGATTGCCTATTTGATGAAGGCTGGGATTTGTCCTTTCATAGTGATAACGGACTTTTTCCATTGTTGTGGATAATAGCCCCATTTCATCATGCTGTTGAATATCGTGGTGAGAAGATTTACTGCACAGCTCGGCAATTCCATAATCATTTTAGGGGAGATTAGATCGTGACCTGGCGCTTTCTTTTTTTTCTGAGCCTCTATCACTCTTGTCACATCTCTTGATTCGAATGTGATAGGCAGGGTAGCCTCTGTAGTGATGATTGTTGGGAGCACAAAGCTGTTTGTTGATGGAAGCGGTTTGAAGACGTTTTCCAGATGCACAGCAAATACATTCGACCTCTCTTCGTTGCCGCGAGCCCACTCTACTGTTTGTGTGTGTAATGGCGATTCGCTTTCGATTGGTGGACATATACCCGATTTAGCTTTCCACAGTGGATATCGTCTGCTGTTAGGGAAGAGATTCAGCAAATAGAATAATTGAGATCGATTACTTTCATCTTCTAGAGCTGTGCGTAGAAGATAGTTGGCTGTTTTAAGCCGCTCCTTCGAGGCAGGCGATCTTTGGGCTTGCCACTCCCTCCGAAGCCTTCTCTTATTGCGTAGCCCAGAAGCTCGACTGTTGCTAAAATTAGAATTAA